GGGGGGGGAGGGTGTCAGGGCGGGAGGGAGGCGGCCGGGAGTGCGGGGACCAGTGCCCGGACCAGGGACCAGCGCCAGCTCCCAGCGCCCAGTGCCTGGTGCCTGTCTCCAGTGCCAGCTCCCAGTGCCCAGTACAAACTCCCAGTCCTTGGTACCAGTGTCCAGTACGAGCTCAGAGCCCCCAGTGCCAGCTCCCAGTGCCTGGTACCAGTGCCCAGTACCAGCTCCCAGTGCCCAGTACCAGCTCCCAGTGCCTGATGCCTGTGCCCAGTGCCTTGTACCAGTGCCAAACACCACTTCCCAGTGCCAGCTCTCAGTAATTGGAACCAACTCCCATTGTCAGCTCCCAGCGCCAGCCAACAATTCCCAGTGCCTGATGCCAGTTCCCAGTGCTCTGTACCAGCTCCCAGTGCTCTGTACCAGCTCCCAATGCCAACTTCCAGTTCCTAACACCAGCTCCCAGTGCCCAGTGCCATGTCTTGGTGCCCAATGTCATCTCCCAGTGCCCCATGCCAGCTCCCAGTGCCAGCTCCTAGTTCCCAACACCAGCTCCCAGTACTCAGTGCCAGCTCCCAGTGCCCAGTACCAGCTCCCAGTCCCCAATAACAGCTCCCAGTGCCCAGTGCCAGCTGCCAGTGCCAGATCCCAGTGACTGGTCCCAGTGTCCAGTACCAGCTCCCAGTGCCTGGTACCAGTGTCCAGTACCAGCTCTCAGCACCCTGTACCGCTTCCCAGTGACCGGTAACTGTGTCTGGTCCTAGGTCCCAGTACCCAACAGCAGCTCCCAGTGTCTGGTACCAGTGTCCTGGACCAGCTCCCAGTGCCCAGTACCACCTTCTAGTGCCTGATACCAGTGCCAACCATTAGCTCCCAGTTCCTGGTGCCAGTGCCAAATGCCAGCTCCCAGTGTCAGCTCCCAGTGCCAAACAACAGTTCCCAGTGCCAAGTGTCATCTCCCAGTGTTCTGTACCAGCTCCCAGTGCCAACTTCCAGTTCCTAACACCAGCTCCCAGTGCCCAGTGCCATGTCCTAATGCCAGCTCCCAATTCTCCAAATCAGTCACCAATATCAGGTCCCAGTGCCCTGGGTTATCTCCCAGTGTCATCCTCAAGTGCTCTGTGCCAGTTCCCAGTGCCTGGTACCAGTGCCCTGTGTGCAGTGCCCAGTGCCATCTTCCAGTGCCAGCTCCCAATGCCAGGTACCAGTGCCCAGTGTCATCTTCCAGTCCCAGCTCCCAGTTGCCCTGTACCAGCTCCCAGTGCCCTCTCCCAGTGCCCAGTGCCATCTCCCAGTACTCTGTGCCAGCTCCCAGTGCCCAGTGCCATCTGCCAGTACTCTGTGCCAGCTCCCAGTGCCCGGTGCCATCTCCCAGTACTCAGTGCCAGCGGCCCCCCCGCCCCTCGGCGAGGCGGAGCGGGGCGGAGCGGAGCGGGGCTCGGGCCCCC